AAATTAAAATATCAAAAGCAAATCCCCAATAATTTATTGAACCAAGTGGAGGAGTGTTCTGCTAAAATTTTAGTTATTTTTGGTCCCTCAACTTGAGTCTTAGTTTCACTTTGGCCCTCAATTTTCCTTTCTTCTCAAGTTGGTTATAAAATGATACTACATATTATTTCTCCTTCTGCACACATATATTTGTTTCTGACAATTGAATTAAATAAATAAGCATTAATACTGAATTTGTCAGCAAGAAACTCTGTTTGGATCAACATCAAATCAATGTAGCTTCGGAAAGCCCAATTAAATTGAGACACGTTTAAAATCAAATGTGTAGATTATTGTTTTAGCACTCATTAATAAAACAACTAAGAACCACATCAATCAGCTTGGTTTGGTTTGGTTTGTTTGTATTACTACCCATGGGCATAATTGGTCACATGTAAGTAAATGGAGGACATTTTTGTCAAAGTAAATGAATTTTCTAGATGCAATTCAAGAAATCAGATGTGTTATCTAAACTTTCGTAACAAAAATCATTTCTGTCTTTATTACTTATGTTATAATAAATAGGCGAATCTCAATGAAAGTGAAGTATTCATTACGAACAATAATGTAAAAGGATTCTATGATGTTGTACGAAGAGAATGCTAAGAAAACTTTCTCAAAGACGGGACTCTCTATGAACTTTCTGCCATTCATAATTTTTACACAATATTTTATGATGTCGGCACGAAAATTGATGTTAAACTGTAAGATAATATAAAGTTCTTGAAGAATCTCACTTTGAGTCTCCTTAGTATTTTTTTTTTAGTATAACGACATATTTTACACTAAAAAATAAAAAAATTTGACTAAACTACATAATAGACAACTTAACGGTAGTCTTCTTAGCATTTCTTGTTGTAAGAAATCAAATAGTTAAGTACAGTTACAAATATTATACGCACATTCAAAAGTCTAGGACCTCTTTTCAAAAAAAAAAAAAAAGTAGTCTAGGATCAATATGAGACCAAAATAAATGTGAAGGCCGAAAGTGATAAAACCTCAAAAATTTAGGAGCAATTACAAGAAATTAAAACTTTATGCTCCAATCCAACGGTAGATAATTAACATAGTACGGATGTGAAATCAAATCAAAGGCCCCTATACATATACTAGGAGATCACTTGTAGTTAACACTCTTGTCAGCTTTTCCAAAAATAACAGAGCTTCTTTGAACCGCCCACCACCTTTCCTCTCTGCTCCTTCCATGGAGGTTTCGAAACGTTTCTCCTCTACATTTTCCTCCTCTGCTTCCTCCTACCCTTGAACAGCAAACCTACCGACTCTGTTTCTGCAGATGTCGACCTCCTCCTGGGAAAAATCAAAGCTTCACTGCAAGGTAACTCTCAGAACTTGCTCTTATCTTCCTGGAACTCCTCTGTGCCTCTCTGCCAATGGAGGGGACTCAAATGGGTTTTCTCCAACGGCTCTATTTTGCTCTGCACCGACCTATCCTCCCTTCAGTGGACCAACTTGTCACTCTCCCGAGACCCAGCTCTCCACCTTTTTTCCCTTCAGCTCCCATCTGCCAATCTCTCTGGTTCTCTTCCCAGAGAGCTGGGGGAGTTCTCTATGCTCCAAAGCTTGTACCTTAACATAAATTTCCTCACTGGGACCGTCCCATTGGAGCTTGGGTACAGCTCTTCCCTCTCTGACATCGATTTGGGAAGCAATTTGTTGAATGGGGTTTTACCGCCGTCGATCTGGAACTTGTGTGACAATCTGGTTTCCCTTAGGGTTCATGCGAATTCGCTGTTCGGTTCGGTTCCTGAACCTGCATTGCGAAACTCTAGCTGCAAGAATTTGCAGTTTCTTGATTTTGGTGGGAACAAGTTTTCTGGGAATTTCCCAGAATTTGTAACCCAGTTTGGTGGGCTTAAAGAGCTTGATCTTGGAAGTAACATGTTTTCGGGTCTCATTCCTGGGGTTTAGCGCAGTTAAACCTCGAAAAATTGAACCTTTCGCATAATAATTTTAGTGGGGTGTTGCCTGTTTTTGGTGGATCAAAGTTTGGTGTGGAGGCTTTTGAGGGTAACATCCCTGGACTTTGTGGGGCGCCTTTGAAAAGTTGCAGTGGAAGCTCTGGATTGAGTCCCGGTGCAATTGCCGGCATTGTTATTGGTTTGATGACTGCAACTGTGGTTTTGGCTTCATTGTGTATTGGGTATGTGCCAAAACAAAAAGAAAAACAGCACGGAAGAGAGTGAAGATGAAATAGAGGAAGAAGAAGATGAGGAAAGTGGGGGCGGAGGCGGTGGCGGTGGTGATCAAGGAAGGCTTATTTTGTTTCAGGGCGGTGAGCATTTGACGTTGGAGGATGTGTTGAATGCAACAGGACAAGTGTTGGAGAAGACCAGCTATGGGACTGTGTACAAGGCAAAGCTCTCAGATGGAGGGACCATCACTTTGAGGCTGTTGAAGGAAGGTAGTTGCAAGGATGGGAGCTCTTGTCTTCCTGTGGTGAAGCAACTGGGGAGGATTCGCCATGAGAATTTGATTCCGTTGAGAGCTTTCTATCAGGGGAAGAGAGGGGAGAAGCTTCTGATATATGACCATCTTCCTCACAGAAGCCTTCATGATCTTTTACATGGTATGCATATATTTCGTGCTTATCTCTGTCTTTTGTTGCTATTCAGTTGTTCTGTGAGATTGAATAGTTTTGTTTGCCTATTAAAAAATTAGCTTTGAAATACTTTGTTTTGTTATTGATACATCGTATGTCTTTGGCCTCTTGTGATTGTTGAAACATTTCAAATCATCAATGTTCGATGATCGCCCTAGATATTTATCAGTTTCTATTAATAGTTAATTGTAATACCGGAAAATACGATCAAACGAGAGTTTGAACGGTTCACTGCCCTTGGCTTAGTAGGCCTCTGATACGTGAAAGGATTCACTGGCATGAAATGTCTCAGGAGATGGATTGATTTCACTGTCCGGCATATGATTACAGGTTTACTTTGTACAATTTACATGGATATGAAAGAGTGGAAACTTAGTTACATGGATCTTGCGGTTAACTGTTATGTAGGAGTTGTTTTGAGAATTCATAAAAGCCCTTTGGAAGATTTGGAAACAACAGATTATATTTAGGCTGTCTCACGTTAAGCAACTTCAAAGTCTCTTGTGCTTTGCTAACCCTATGTTTCTCAAATTGGAATCAACATATCTTCCACAACCAATGACCTATAGAGTTGTGAAAGCATCTTGAAGAAAATGCACACATCCTCAAAGGGTTCACATATTATTTGCTGCCTATTTCTTAACTTATCAACACTCCCTGTGGAATTGTTTAACTATTTTTTCATCTGTTTTTGTTGGATGCAGAAGCCAGAGCAGGGAAACTTGTGTTGAACTGGGCTCGGCGACACAAGATTGCACTGGGAATAGCTCGAGGACTAGCATATCTTCATACTGGTCTTGAAACACCTATCACTCATGGGAGTGTAAAATCTAAGAATGTGCTAGTGGATGAGTTTTCTGTAGCTAGGCTCACAGAATTTGGGCTTGACAAGCTATTGATCCCTACTGTGGCTGATGAAATGGTGGCGGTTGCAAAAATTGACGGTTATAAGGCACCAGAGCTTCAAAAGATGAAGAAATGTAATTCAAGGACAGATGTTTATGCATTTGGAATTATTCTGTTGGAAATTTTGATAGGCAAGAAGCCTGGTAAAACCGGGAGGAGTGGTGAATTTGTGGATTTGCCTTTGATGGTGAAAGTTGCAGTCTTGGAGGAGACGACACTGGAGGTTTTCGACGTGGAGGTACTGAAGGGGGTGAGGAGTGCAATGGAAGAAGGTCTGGTTCAGGCATTGAAACTCGCAATGGGTTGCTGTGCGCCGGTTGCTTCGGTTAGACCCTCCATGGATGAAGTTGTGAGGCAGTTGGAGGAGAACAGGCCAAGGAATAGGTCTACTTTGTACAGCCCAACAGAGACAAGGAGTGAGATTGGTACCCCGTTTTGAACCTTCCATTTCTTAAAAAATGTCCAAAATTATGACTTAATTGAAGATGTTATCGATTAGCCTCGGCGTCTTCGCAATTGAAAATGTTGTGTATCTCTGATTCAGTAGAGAATTGTAGGAGTTCATGGTGATAGGATTTCTTCATCTGGTGGTTCTATTTTTAGGATGAAAAATTAATTCATGGTCGCTGTGTATTTTATGATGGCATTGCCTCTCTTTTAGTCTTCCTTTTCAAGCAAGTGTGCTGGAATGTGTACCAAAATCTCAAATATATTTATGTGTATGCTGCAAATTTCAATGCAGAAGAACCCAAATGTTTCACTATAAAACAATCCATTAAGACATAAACACACGTATTTGTAATAATCAAGAATGTCTAATTCTTTTTTATTTATTATTTATTTTTGTTTATTATCAATTTAGCTCATGAGAAAAATGTATTTATTAAGACATAAACACACATATTTGTAAGAATCAATAATAATACCACTATTATTATTGCAGCAATCTTCTAAAGGAGAACTTACTGTTGTGTCCGCAACATTTGATACTTTATTTATTCTATAATAAAAAAAGATTGAAATACTCTCATTTTAAACTAAGCGGGGTTGTGTTTTTACAAGAAATCTCTAGCCAACCTTTTGCGATTGATATGTTGTGATTATATCAACAACACATCGATATAGGGAAATGGTTTTTGTACTACTTTTTAGTTTACGATGTTTGAACAAGTAAATCAAAGAAAAATTAAGAAGAATGAATAAAGGAGAACAGTGGAAAGAGAAAACGGAAATTATTAGAATTAAAGAGCTAAAAGAAAAGAAGAAAGTGGAAGGAGAAAACGAGAATGACGAAGTCATTTCATATGGATACAATGAGACCATTTGTTACTGTAATAGTGCTATTTGGGAACATTAGCCTAGCCTAGGTTTCTCCTTGCCTAACCACATGGCAAGAACAAAGAGGGTGCCAACTGCGTAGCTTATACATGCAAAATCTCAAACAAGCTTAGTTGGATAAAATGTGCCCATTTTTTTTTAGGTCACATGCAAAACAATGTGGCCTTGTCATCAAATATTTCATTGCCTAAAGTGCAATTACAATATTATATGGACCAAAGAAAATAGAAAATTACAAACAAAAAAGAAAATGTGACTAGTAAAAAATGTACACTTCTTCAAATACTTGATTGGGGCAAATAGGGTGGAAGGAAGGGATGTAAACTTAATGGCTCCACACCAATAATCAAGGGAAAGAAGAATGAGTAATAATTTCTTTCTTCCTTCTGTTCTTGTTTCTTTTCTTTTTCTTTTTTTTTTTTTTTTTTTGTTGTTTTTTTTGGGGGGGGGGGGGAAGGGATTGAAACATAATTAACATTGGTAACCCCTCCGGCAGCTGAGGACGCCGGCGCTGGCCGTGATGGAGCCAACCATTGAAGATGACTTGGCCCCCAAGCTAGAGGCCCTGGCATAGCTTGCTCCAGAACCAGTTCCCGATGCAATGAAATAGGCTCCATTGAGCATCAGGTCTCCTTCTGATCTCCAGTTCCAGTGCGTCCAGTCATTTGGATCAACTCTATGTGTGACCTGCAAATTATCAATTAAACAAATTGCAAATGTTGTCAAATTCCAACCTCATCATCTTAATCAGAAAGACTAAATAGACGGGGTTGTAAATTGCGGTTTATATATAGCTTATTGTTTATTTACCGTCTTTCAATTCATTTTTTACTAATAGTTTGTAGTAGGTTTTATTTGTGCCTATTTCAATCGCTTTATCAAAATTAGCTTCGTTTTTGTATTCCGAAGTTATACCTCCTTTGCAAAAGCATTGTTAGGGGCCAGATATCTGTTGCCCTGGCTGTTAATTGTGGGTTCAGCACTTCCACCAATGGCATACATTTCCCAATGTGTGTAGTCATTGTTCACCACATGGAAATACCCGTGCCTACACCTGCAAAATTAATTCAGTTGGCGACCAATTAATAAATTTAGAATGTGTGACTCTTTATGGTTGCGGAATGTGATCAGCTGGTAGACCGGCAGAGTACAGCCAGTCGACCCGCAACTCACAAACTGCAAAGTTTATTAAAGAAACTAAGAGTTAATCACTTCAGAAATGTTACCTTGGCATCCTTTGAATAAGTCCCTCACCAAAATGGTTGTAAGCAATTGTCACTTGCATAAGTTTGTCCCTTACATAGGAGTCACTATGACCCAATAACATAACCTGTTCCAATCACCAACATAAATGTTCGTTAATTTCTTATTGTGTTTTTAATGAAAGTGTTTATGAGTATAAATGCTTCTAACGAAAACAACCCAGACGAGCCTAGTTATGTACCTCATTATGATGGGTGAAGTAGTTGTTGGAAATGGTAATTGCAGTAGAGCCCATAATAGCATCAATGAGCCCATCAGCACAATTAGAAAGGGAATTGTGGTCAATCCAAATGTGGCTAGATCCAAAAATGGAAATGCCATCCCCGTCCGCCATCGTCCTCCACCCGTAATGGCTTGGCGAGCTCCGGACGAGGGCATTTCCGGTAGATTTGCAGTCATGGATATGTAGCCCATGGATGATGACATTAGTAATGTATTGAATCGTAATGCATGCCCCATATGCAATGTGCACATTGACTCCACGTGCATCAATTGTCTTGAAGCTGTTCATAATTAGCTCTTGCTTTAGTGTGATCATCATGTCACGCTTGAACACAATCCACAACGGCCTGTCCTGGATGACGGCGTGGCGGAGGGTTCCGGGTCTAGGGTTGACGGGATCATCATTGCCGGGGTCGTTCACGACGTAGTATCTCCCGTCGCGGCCGCCCACGGCGTTGCGCCCAAACCCTATGCCGCAGTTTGCAAGGCGCTTGCGGTGGAGCTGCCACTGTGGGTCACATCTCCAACAATCATCAATTGGATTCCCCGTCGCACATGAAAAGAATCCCAAATTTCTTCTCTCTGTGCTATTACGAATGGTCCTGAAAATAATTACAAATAAACAAATAAATCATCAAATTTATATAATATAAATAAATAGGCATGTGAAGCAAATAATGTAATGTCACATGCATAAATAATTTTAAGGGGCCTAAGGGCCATGTGAATAAATGGTAGGGACATACTATATTTGGCAATAATAAACATCAGGGATAAGAAGGATACGGTCCATACGGAATTACGCCTTTTTTTATTATTTATAATTATTTTAATGTTTTTCCTAAATTTAGTGACACAAAGTAATAAATGGGGAGGTGCACAGTTTGTTTGTTCATATTGCAGTGTCGGTGGAGAATTAGGGTCTTATAAAAATTGCATGGAAGTATTTAATGAAGTTGCGGCGGACCCATTGAACGACGTAGTTTCTGTCAGTAGGGTTAGCTGTTATATCAGCTAAAAAATGAAGCAGAATTCTGTTGAGAGAAAGTTTTTTGGTACATAAACCAGATCTGCGATCTCTTCACCAGGCTGGTGATGGGGGGCAAAATTGAAGAAGAATAGACCCCACTAAATTGGGGAGTTATGATCTTTTTTAAGTGAAAGGAACAGTTAATTGAGTGTTTAAACATAAATTTAGGGGAAAATAATGTAACTTCTGACTTTTTATATATGGATGAGACAAATTGTTCATATGAGATGGATTGAATGATGAGAGCTTTTGACTCTTGAGTGCATTGTATTCATCACAGATGAGGCATTGGATTCTAAGGTGTTGACGATGCTAATTTGGTTCCCATGATTGGCTTATGGAAAGGCAAGAGATCGGTTTGAGTGAAAACTAGGAGATGGTTTTGTATGGTATGTAACTAAAGTGTGGTATGTGATTGATATTGAAAGGGTATAGCGATTTTATCACTCTGAATTTAGCTTCTCGTACTCCAAATTGAGTACTTCATAGTTTTATAAACTCTAAGGGAAAGTATCAAAAGTTAAACTACGAGTGCTCAATTCGTTGCTATGAGTAAAGCTATGAATACCATACTTGTGAGACAAATTATTGTGTGGTACTTTAACACTATCACGTATATATATTATCAGTTCACATATGATAGTATATAAGTATGGTTGCCTATTGATATCAAATGATAAACTACCAATGTTCATTCGTACAATTTGTGAGCTGGTTACACCACGTAATAGTGTTCCACCATCACGCTAACAATCTTTCCACATGAAGAGGAGGGGCTTTAGACTTTAGTGAGATAGAAAAACAACCCAAAGGTGCACAAACAAATGCATTGGCACATAAAGCTAATGTGAGATAGAATGAGATTTGGATAAGGGGAAGGAGAAAGAAAAAAAGACAAGAAAATAATAATGCGAAAGCGTGAGGAGCGGATCTGGCGACATGGGCATGTGAGGAAAAGAAAGAGAGGTTGCTGCCGCAAGAACATGCCAACAACATGGGTGGTTGATTCCCCAGAAATCTATAAAGTTTAAACACAAATTCCTATTTAAGTATATGATATAATAACATAATATAATATAAAAGATAGATTATTTAATCATTAAAGACGCAGAGAAAATGGATCTTTGTAGAATATAAGATGACAAAGAATTTGTACCATCAGAAATAGCAGCTTATAATAAAACAATGTAGTTTTGATTCTCAGTCAGTTACTTTTTAATTACGTTAGGTTAAATTTACAAGAAGTGGTCCTCGGGATCTTTTTCGAACAATATAAGTGTACCAATCCTAACCCAGCATGGTTATTTTTGCTTGGAACTGTTGACCGTTTTTAATTTGACTGGAGTTTTTGGCGGTAAAATCTAAATTGTATTTGACTAGATTTAATCTACATATCGGAAAACAATAGAATAGACTTGTATGAAACCGGATGCATTCCATTGTATCCTCTCTCCTTTCGTATATGTCTCTCCTTTCGCGTAACATGATACATAAAAAGAAAGGCAAATACATAACAAATTGACGTTTTGTGTAAGTTTTAACCGGAAAAAAGGTATGCGGAAGGACATGTAATAAAACAAGTTGGTTTGTAATTGAAGCAATCATGCATGACGCCATGAAGCACTTCTTTTATATGACCCCATGATATCTTAAAACATATTAATTAGGGTAACATGCAAATCATAAATGAGAGAAATGAGAGACTTACATGTCAACCATGGAGGCTATTTCATCTGGATTATCTACTGCGTGCTCATCCAAAGCTTCATCAGACCTGCAAACACAGAATTATTTCCACCAAGTTAGAATTCTTTTTTTAATTGAGAAAGAGTTACTAAAAGTTATTATTAACGTGAATCACCTAATTAAATAAGCACAAAGTGATACACACCGCCCGATAAGCGTGGAGAGAGAATTGGATTATGGCAAAAATGACATGATTAATTATGACTTAATTTGATTAGTGCAAGTATTCAAGATTGCTATTGGATAACTGTACATGATATGAAAAAGGTAATTTTGGTATGTAAAAAACTAACATTTCTAAAAGAAGGGGAAAACTATGATCACCAAATAAAGGGTCTAGATTTTTCAGATCCAATCTCAGTTAATGCCTTAAATTTGCACTCTTAGCCAATTCGACGATCCAGATCAAAAGATCTAAAACCAGCCGGGGCAATCCTTGGTTGTCTCTGAAAATATATCTTTATTTTTCTATCTCACACATTACGTTACCATTTTGTTAAAAATTGTATTATCGAAAAACTAAGAAGCTTAGGAAGGAGGATGTATCCCCAATTGAACGCTAGAACCACCTTAAAGCTGAGAAGTTGAAAAAAATAGCAAGTACTACTGAAAAACTGACCTTTCTGCCATTGATGAGTTCTTGGAGCTCAATGACTCCTTTGGTTCCACAAACCTACCACAAAAAAAAATAGCCCTAATCCAATGAACACCCAAAACTTAAAGACTCCACAGTGAAATGCAGCTCAAATTAAAAATAAAATGCATACCTAGAATTTACATTCTTGTCAGTCTCTGCAGAGGCATTTGTGCTTGCAACCAGAGCTAGAAGAACCGCCATTGTCGAAAGTAACAAAAACAAGTTCAAAGAGACCGCCATTGTTGGTTTAGAGCAAGCTCTCATGCTCTAATTTCTGTATTTATGTTAATAATGGCGCTCGACCGGTGTCAAAAATTGAAGAAGAAGAGGAGGAAAAATGGAAGGCAAATGGAGTCGAAGAAAAGTTGTCATGGCGCTGTGTTTATATAGTGAAAGGGCCGGGCCTAATTACTTTTCTAATCTCACTTAAATTAAACCCTGGTTAAGTTAATCACAAAAGTAAACAACATTTAACATCCTTTATCACCACCCTTAACTGCCACTAACTGATTCTCTCACTCTCTCTTTAAAGTCCGCCACCTGTCAAAGGTGTGTGTCGGTCAGTCACGTGCCGCACCCTTTCTGGTCTCTCTCCCTTCACACTTCCTCCAACCCCGAAAGCCCACGTTACCGCATTTATTTTCATTTATTTTTATATATTTTTCTATTTTTTTTAGGGTGGTCTGCAAACACTTTTTTTTTTTCACCTCACGCATTTTTTATTGAAGTATGATTATCTCTTATTTTATTCTCATCTTTTTCTTTCATTTTCTTTTACATATTGTTTTTTATTTTCTTCTGGCTATTAAAAAACTAACACACAACGTCAACATAGCTTAACTGTAACCGTTCAAAATGAAGGGAATGGAAGAAGAGGGAAACTATCAGAAAAGAGAAGATGTGACTTAACATTAACCGTTCAAATAGAAGAGAAGGGAAATAAAGAGAGACTAAAAGGGTGAAGAATCTTACTTTTCTTTTTGAACATTTTAATTTTTAACTATCAAATCAAATGAATTAAAAATAATAATAACAAAGAAATTAACGAAAAGTGTGCAACGTAAATTGAGTGTATAGCATAATAGCACCACTTTTTTTTTACTGAAGCATATTTCTTCATATAACGTAATCGCGGTGCTTTTTAATCTAGTCTACTCGCTGGCTTTTGGAGCCACGCAGCCATGTGTGAGTACCTGATTTTCCGGTGGCGTATGAGCTAGCTGGAATATAAAAAGAGTTGACGACTGACAGGTGTCCTCGAAATTTCCAAAGTGTACGGTACTTGCGGTCAATTAAAGTTTCAAGATCTGCTAGGTCACCGGTTCTTTGAGTAATCGTCCGTACTCAGATCCGATTTGGGGTTTTTCATCTAGACTTGGCTTCTCTGCCCTTCCAGTTTCTAAACATTCTTATTTTCTCTTATTTGTACGGTTACAGTTAAGTCACGTCAATACTTTATATCACTATTGCTTTTTGTTTTATTATCCCTATAAAAAATCAATATAAAATGTTGACATGGCTTAATCGTGACCGCACAAAATAGGAATGAATGGAAGTATATGGGAACTGGGAGGGCAGAGAAGCCGGGTCCTTTTCACCTTGGCAATGTTGGCATTGTCGCTTCAGATCAATTTTTATTATTAAAAATTTTGGAAATTTATAGTTTCTTTTTTAGTTGGCATTTTCACCAACAGGATCCTCTACGGATTCTTTTGCTGAGGATTCTGAAGATCTGTGAATTGTGTCTGTTCATCATGCGGTCAGTTTTTGTCAAGCACTATTTATGTTTATTTTTAAATAAAAATATTTAAAATGATATTTGACTGCACGATGTACGATGAATGGACACAATTCACGGATCCCCAAAATCCTCACAAAAAGATCCGGCTAGGATCCGAACTCTACATTTTCAAGGAAGGAGCGTTTCTTCCCATGCAGCCACCATACTAATATAAATGATTTTATATAACGATATAATTATCCTAAATAGTTGCAGGAATAATTTGATTGCAAACTCGTAATTTTTGAGTTTCAAAATTAGAGAAATATTACTAGACTTTGGTACTAAGTGACACAAATTAGAGTCATTGGATTACTTTTTTTTATTTTTATTTTTGCTTTCAAATTAAAAAAAAATGAATTAAACAAGTTTTCATTTTTCAGTTTTCATAAAGATGAAAACACACAAGAATATTTTCTTTTTTGTTTTGAAACCCAATACAATTACCAAACGGACCATTAATATTTGTTTATTTCTTAGTAAGGAAAAATAGTTGACGCTTTAAAAAAATCACCATATATGCACTCCTTAAAATGTGATTATTCCTTTTCCTAAAATATGTAGCTTTTGTATAATTTGATATAGTGTTGATTAATTTGAACAAAAATGCTCTTCTATCACAATTTTCACACCACATTTATATCACATCTCTAATAGAGATAAAACTCATATATGATGATGAGTCCTACTTCTATTTGAGAGGTGGTACAAATGTCGTATGAAAAATATGATAAGTGCAACATTACTCTAATTTGAATGAACACATCAATGCATGCCATATATTTGTATAGTCTCAAATAATTTTTATATGGTGTTATAAATTTGGTGAATTTCAACACCGTAGGCCATATATATATATATATATAAATATTTGTTCTTTGTTGTTTTGTGTTGAGAAATGTTACGTTATTGTAAATGTAAACGGTGCACATAAAAGAATATGTTGTAAATGTGGCCTCGTTAAAATCTTCTCCGGTGTTTTCTATCCGATACAAAGAAAGAGAGATGTTGTATGTTTAATGGCGATGAATCAAGTATCAAGTGATATTGAGCTAGAATGTCATGTTAGCAGGTTTAGAGAAAATCTCATTTGATTGGACATCCAATCCATTGCACTACCCAAAAATCCATAACAGTTAGGAGTCCACCATTAATGCCGCACCAACTCTCCCACCACCACCCTTGGCCCACCATCACCGCCCCTTACCACCGCCTTGATCTGCCACCACTGTGGTCATCACCCCGTCCGCTTCACCCCACTGTCGCCACCATCACCACAACAGTTTTACATAAAATTTTACTAAAAGTATATATTATGACACTGCTTTTCACACGCAAACCACTTTAAAGTATATTTTACTACTCGCTGAACTACTTTACTTTACGATAGAATATTATTCTCAAAACAAGCAGAAGCAACTTTTATTAAAGCTACAACATTACCAAATTGCCTGTATACCCTCTTTGTATTTGGTTTGATGTTGTTCCTCCGAGTGTAGGGACTTTTTATTTACCTGTTTCACCCTCTAAAAAAGAAAACCAATTCTTGATAATTTTCAAAGTTCCTAAATAAATATTGGATTGAATTAACTGAAAAAAAAAAACTCAAAATTAGGATAGATTGCTTTGGGTTCTAAATTTGTGTTCGTTTTTTATTAAACAACCCGAAAACTTGGTTGTTATTACTCATTAAGCATTCTTGACCACTCAACCAAAAGGCCAAAACATTGGATTCATCTTGGGCGGCCTAAAAAACTCATGATTGATTAATCATATGTGACGTTTTTTTATGTCTGTGCATGAGAGTATGGCTATGGATTTCAAGAATTCAACAAAGACGAAGCTCCTTCCATTTTCATTCAAACAATGCAGATATTATGAAAAATAATTTCATTTGGCTGTAAAGCATAGAAACTTCCAAGGTGAATTAGAGGATGAATAACCTATGCGTAAATAGATGATAACCTAATTAATTATTGAAGATTGCTGAATTTGAGGATGGTGATTGTTCTAATCTGATTAATTTGTCAATAAACATGTATCATAGTACCTAACTCAACCGCCTTAATTTATTGTACCTTAGGAACAAAAAATTGATCATATGATATGCAAGCCTACATGTATCCCACGTTGTTTTAGAATCTTTCACCCTAATTTGTTTTTAAAAAAGGGTGCCGGTTATATACATACATATATATATATATATATATATATATATATATATATATAAAGCCAATTTCGTTAAACTAGTTGTCATTGTATTAGTAGATTTGAGAGCAAGACATACCTCATAATAAACAAAGAAATGCTTCTAAGTCTTGAAATCATCTACACCCAAATTCAGAAAATTGAGATGGCCATCTGAAGTCAAAAGAACTGTATTCTTGATGAAAATGTTACACATTTCACGAATTGGGTAATCCTCAACCTTGTAATTGCACGTTAACTTGACCATATCATGGCAATCGTATTCGATATTGATTTTAATCGTTTTAGTGCATGCATGTAAACATTTTCGTGTACGTAATAATAATATATATAATAAAATCAAATACAAATACAACAACCAAACCGTCATCTGTGATTCTATATAATGAGTTGGTACCCACTAACTAAGCCCTCTAATTGATATGTATACATACGAATACGATTGTTGACAAAAGTCAATGATAATACGGTGCAATATTTTCTATTATTCAGGGAAGATAATGTGATACGAGAGGTGCAATAACCTATTGACATCATGAACTTTTGATGTTTTTCCGGTTTTTCGTATTTCGGGTGTGATAAGTCAAATGCCTCCTCGGCACGTAGGCTTGCAGGTTAAAGGTATGCATGCATGTGCTTGGAAGGAATCTGCCTTTGTCATTGGTTGGTTCAAAACCCTAACTATTGTCACATGGGCAGCTACATTATTATAATTCATATTCAAACATATCCGCTTAATAATTCAAATTCGATCGGTGAGAACCTTGGATTAATGGTTTACTTTTCGGATTATAATCTAAGTCTTTTTATATCAAGAAATCACGAGAATATTCTTCTTTGTATCTGCCAAAAGCTAAATACATATTAAACAAATTAAACGAGTAATATGTAAATTTATTCGAGTAATAGTAGCTAGGTAATTTTGATATTCATTAAGATATACTAATTCTCCGGGATCTCCGTGTCGGTACGTACTTGGGGGCATACACATTTTGTTCCAGGACTTTCGTCTGAGTACACTTTTTGCTCCATGATTTTCGTCTATGAATGGAAACTAGGGTTAGATCTTCGGTTTACCCGAAGTACAAATAACAACATACACACATATACTTAAAATTATAGTCTCTCTAGCATAAATTAACGATATTACCCTTTTTCCTTTTTATTGCTTAATTTTTGCTAAATAATAAGAATAAGTATGTTCTCTTGGTCACGAATGCATGATCACTCATATGTAAATTTTTATTTTTTAACAAATGATATTATCTACACTAAAAGGGTAGAGGAAGAGACTAAACCTCTCAATAGGCTAGCAATAATGTGCATGGTTCAAATTCTCCTTTGGTTCTTAAGAACTCTCACTTACAAATAAAGAGGAATACCACTAGACCATAGTATTAAATGACATGATCACTGATACTTAGAATTTTTTTTTTTTTATGTTTTTAGCGTTTTAATCCCTATCCTTAATATAATGTCCAAAAGTAAGCCATCATAAATCTTCAATCACCTAATGGCTTAGAAACTAGACTCTGTAGTTATATACGCATCAGTTTTACTTAAGTCCGGCCTTTACCATGAGATAACTTCAATCATTGATAGTTTGATACGTATAAATTATTGTCGACATGTTATAGCCAAGAGGTATGTAATTTACAATTGCCTATTTGCCTACATTCATTCATTCATACCACTAAATGATTCATCTATTGGATGATTGGAGCGCGGCATTAATGCCATAAGCTCATCATCATACTATTCTTTTCCTCCATCTGTTGTTTTTTCTTCTCTCTCTCTCCCTCGAAAAAAAAAAAAAAAAATTTAACTTTCCCTCCTCGTCTTTCTGTACCAACTTTATATATTGTCCTGCATTATTGCTCTAGACACCTGGAAAATGGAAATAACTAATACTTGAGAAGCCAAAACTGCCACCAGATCCAAGTCCCATCTTTGTCCCTCGTTCAAGCCTAACTTTTAACGCTCAAAGTCTCAACCTTCTTAGAGCTTTTTTTACAAGATGTTGTCGCATATCTTGCATTGCATATCTAATAGTAGTTGTCATTCTATATTCTTGAGTTCCGTTTCCCTATATTTTGTAGAAAATTATGTTCATCGTTTGATTTTAATCCAACAATGGAAGAGAAGGTACAATACAATAAAAGATGACCATCTACGGTTGAATTAAGATTGAACAGTGAGTGACAACAATTTTCTTAAAAGACGCAGTCTAAGAGAACAAAACTGCTATACTAAGAGAGAAAGATAAACTCGTCACATCCACGATTTACAAGAGTGCATAATTTTTCTCTAGTAATAGACTCAATCTAAATCATTTCAAGTCACATAATAAGATAGAGAAACAATAAACTCGAATTTTACATCTAAACTTTTCTACACAGGCCCTTTCAATTTCTCAAGCATAAGCATATGCTTTGACCGAATGAAATATATATATATATATATATATGCATGTACATACACACATATATATTTGGCGTTGAAAAATCCATATAAAATGACCACAACTAGTCCCTAATTTGGAGGCAGGCGGAGGATCAAATGTGTACGCGTACTAAGTTTGTCCTTTTGAGTTTGCATGAGTCGTTGTTGTTCAATGTCATTATTGGCCCACATGGATTGTGTTATCCATTTGTGGTAGATCTCATAATCATAGCTTTCTTTGCACCCAGCTTACAACACATGCCATGTTACTTGATTGTGTTTGTTCTGCAGACCTGTGTTTATTTTTCCGCTGGCAAATCCAATTTCTTCTTCGAGTAGTAGTGTTTACACCACTCTAAAACTAAAGGTTTTGACAATATTGTGTGCAGGAAGCCGTCTTCAATGCAATACCTGAATTCTTATGTATTAGGTTCAACAAATAGTAGTCTATAACTGTTTGAGATAAAAGTTAAATTTGGGTTTGTTGGTATAGTTTAGCTTGATACATGCTAGAGATTTTGATATGGACAGTTGCGTATTATGGGAACGAAAATGGAAAAATTGAAACTTTTCGGTGCAATTTCGAATATGGTTACATAGCCCTTTTTTTTTCAAACGATAGATGAAATTTATTAATATTCAAATGCGAATCAATACATTAGCATCATCAGCGAGGGTGTTAAAAAGCCATATTGGTTCCCAATCTACCCACATTGATAGACTCCTTTCTCTTTAAAATCATAAGGAGCTACCATTCCACCTCCGCCTTCGCATCCATCTCTACCTCCACCATTTTGAATCTATTATCCACCACGTACCACCTCCGCCTCCGCCATGGTGGAAGACATACAATGAAAACCTTCCACCAACGCCACCTGCTACCTTAAAAATTCCAGGCCATGAACGCAGCACCCAACCCCAGCCCCTAGAGTTTGACTTCGAGCACCATGCATGTGGGTGCAAAAATTAAGGGCCAAGTAACTGGCTATTTCCCATGCATCCTAAAAATTGGAGAATGAGGCTAAATAAAGCAACATGAATCAACTACTACTAAGGAACATGGAGTGAGATAATGGGACTGGGAGCCCAAGCTTTTTATGCCTACAAAGGCCTAGTATCCCACCAGAAAGGGGGGAGGAAAAAGAAAGATCAGTTGATCATTTTAAACAAAACTGACTTGAGTGTCAAAGTGTTTTCTTACAGGTCCCCTCCTCCTTCATTCATTGATGGCTAGTGGAGATGGCGTTATGAGCTTCTCAACGTGGTTACAAGATTTACTTGTTGGAAATTGGAGGAGCTGAAATTTTCCACTCCAACAATGTACCATCACCATTAAGCTTTAAGACATTTGAACCCCAATTAGAAAACCTCAAACACTCAAATCTGAAGCCCAAATTATGACATGTGGAAGGCCCAAACTGATTTCCATGGGAGTGCATGTATGTCTGGTACAAATAGGAATCAACTTCCTTTTCCTTGTGTGGGAAGAAAATCTTTCTAGGAGTAGGAGAATATTGTTCGTGCAGAAGTTAGGATTTTCACTCCTTATAGTTTCAGTTTTTGCTGCACAACCTTGTAGAAATCAATACTACGTCAAGATTTTATAGAGACATGCCAACCCATGAAGTTAGTTTACTTGCTTCCTTGTAGTAATGTATCAATCCCATCCAAGGAACTCACAACTAACCGCATTGTTTTTATTATCAGCCAAACTTACATCTTACTAAATTCACAACACGACATGTGTGGAAGTTTTAAGACAACAAACATTAGTGGAATTAGAAACAAATTGTCAATTTCATGTACATTCAATTGAACTAAAGGCATAAAGCGTATATAGGACACTCGTTTTATCGATGAGTTGTGCCTTCAATTCATAGAGTTTCATACCCCATTCATATAAGTTGGGTTTTTTTTATTTTTGCTCTAAACAACTCGACTATTTTTGTTCTCTATAAACTTTGCACTACTGTTTAAACCGAAATACTTTCACGCTAAATTTCTACTTATGCACACAGCACATTCATGTTCATTTTGTACTTATCAAATTGGATAAACTAAAGAAGAATTAAAAAATTAAATTAAATTGAAGTGTGCAGAAAATGTGTACAAAAATCGTTTCTCTTTCTTTCTTCTTAAAAGGGCAGTGGTGGCCAAGACAACCCATCCTGGCCACGACAACCCATTCTTTCACGGGTCCGAGAAGACTCACAAAGACATTTTAGCCTCTCTTGACCACCATTATGTGATTCACCAGGAACGGGGAAATTCAAGCTTCAACTGAAGGGAGAGTCAATATTTGAGGTTAAAATTAAGGTATGCTTTAACAATAAGGTAGGATGCCCATTCTTTCTCATGCAATATATCCCAACTAATCATGTCAAGATAAATTGGCAATTACATATCTCAAAAGTGGAAAGTAAAAGCTAGAGAGATGCTTATTACCAAAAATGCAACTCCACTATCCACCCTCACTATTTCTACAAATGGAGAGAAAGATCAAGCTTTTGCTCTTTACCCTTACTACCACCACCAATCCCGGAATTGTGATCCCCATTCGCCATTGATGACTGCTGTGATGAACCTCCTCCACTGAATCCATTGTATCTTACGCTCCTCTGCCAATTCAAGAAACTTTGCTCATCATCCTCACACTGATAACCGTTCACGTTATTGCTCGACGACAGGCCATTCCCGCCATAGTACACAGAATTCTCAAACTTTGGTGCTCCGTTGGATCCGAAACAGTCTGATGAGAACTGGTTAGGATTCGGAAAGTATCGGAGATTGGCAGCATGAGCAGTTATATAGGGATGCAAGAGGCCTAAATGATGGTTTGGAGCAAAAACCATGTGAGGTTGTGTGTTAGGGGATAGTATGGGGAAGTTGATAGACAAAGCGTAGTTAGAAGCGCGTTTAGCTTTCCTCGCAGCCGTTCTTTCCTTCTTGTGAGCGTTTTGGTGGCCTCCCAAGGCTTGAGAACTGTAAAATTTTCTCGAACAGAAGAGGCACGGAAACAATTTTGTGTTCGCATCTCTATCTTCTTCCGCATTGCTCTCTTGGTGATCAACTTCCGTGCCGCCTTTCTCTTCGTCTCCCATGTCTGCAACGAAAATCAGAACATGAAGGTGAACGAAAATTCGAAAAGAAAGAAAACCCAAGTGGGGAAAATTTAGTAATGTTGAGGAATCAACCTTGAGAAAGAGTAGAAGAGTACAAGAATTGAAGAAATGGTATGAATTGAGCTGAGAGTGACAGAGAAAAGAAAGTAAAACGTGGGAGAAGTGTCTTGGAGGTTTGGCGTTTGGCTTGTTTTCTGATCAGAAGTGTAAAATAAGAGAGTTCAGAAGCTAACTTGTCAAAGAGTTGGAGTTGGAAAATGTGAAGAGTCTCTGAGTAATACTATTAAATAGAGTGCTTGACACAGAGGGCTGTATGGGCTTGGAAACACAAGAGATAAGAGAGAGAGAGAGAGAGAGAGAGAGAGAGAGAGAGAGAGAGAGAGAGAGAGAGTCTGTAGGAACAAGTGGGGAACTGGCTTTAGCTTTTAAGTCACCCAATCCTTCCACATTGGCTTTGGAGATCACGAACCTGATCATGTAAGCTTTAGCTTCCTCTCACAATCTGACTTCCACTCTCTCTCTCTCCCCTCTCTCTCTCTCTCTCTCTCTCTAAATTAATTAGCCACGACTTTCATTATTCTGGGTTTTCTTTGAATTGTAAACTTGGTTAATTACCAAAAATATTGTCAGACGTAAGCAAGTTGGCTAAAGATAAGCGTGCCTAGGTTTTTTTTCATCTGAATTCGAATTTCTCCCCACATGAATTAGACTAGTTCAAAATATTTCCTGGTCAAAAAATTATGAAATACAATTGTCGAGATAAAAAAAAAAAAAAAAAACAAAGGGTAATGCCAGAGAAATGAAATTTGTACATAAAATTTGCAACTAAATGATATATCATCAATAGGAATGAACACGTTTATCAACGCTTAAGTAATAATTCAATTATCAACTTCTCTGTCATTTAATTTACAAAATTTTGTATGCAAATTTAGTCTCTAGTATTACCCAATAAAAAACCACTATATGAATCATGTAGAATAAATATACACTTTTTAGTTTCTTACACGTTTATTAAATTATGTTTGTTGATTCAATTTGTTTATCCAATCTCATATCCATAAATTAAGATGAATGTGAGAAACTAAAAAGGAACTTTAACGAAAAGCTCCCGACACTGTTTACTTTAACGAAAATCCACATTTTTACACTAAAAAGTCAATCATAGTATTATTCACTTTACCCTTTATTTTGTCCTTAAATAATTACCAAACAAGTTGTCAAGATAAGGAACCACTTCCCTTTGAGTGGCAGACCGTGGCACATGTATCCTTTAGGTATTATTGCCCCAATATATCCAGTTAAAAAATGACCATCAAAGAGGTCCTTAACTAGTTTGACACTCTAACTTCCATTGATTCTTCTATCTATCTCCGATTAATTAGCCACTTGGCTTTGATTACTCTTTAAGTTTTCTTAAAACTTGTCAATTTGGTTAATTACCAAAAACAGTCGTCAAGATAAGAAACCGCTCCACTCAAAGAGTTGCAGCCTGCAGGGTTTAGCTCTAGCACTGGTTTTGCATTGAGGCAACAGTGTCTTTCCATATCTGTGGGGGACCTGACTACCCAAAATGTTCCGAGTCTTCGAGCTTCATTTACTCATCCACTTAAACACCCAACTAACTTAATTAGTGCCCATCAAACCACTAAATTATAGATAACTGGGGAATAAGTAAGTCATTGGTTAACTATAAACAGATGATTAATTAGGGTTGGCAAATGGAATCTCTCTCTCTCTCTCTCTCTCTGCATGCAAATGGGGAAATGGCTTCTTCTTTTCTTCTGCAGCAGCAGCAGCATTAATCCTCTGCAAATTTCTATAAATGGAGTGATGGGGCTAGCGGCCACTTGTCTACTCTTCCCCCCACTCCCCACCGCCAATCCACTTCTCATATCTCATCCCTTTTTTTTAATGTATTATTTGCATGCAAATGCAATGGGATGTGGATTGTCTACCCTCCCATTTCCATACTCTTTTCGTACCCTCCTGTGATGTGTGATCACGATTAAACCACATCAATATTTTATATTAATTTTTTATAAAAATAATAACACAAAAAGTAATAGGAATATAAAATGTTAACGTGACTTAACCGTAACCACACAAACAGAAGGACATGAAGAGAGTATGGAAATAGAAGAGCAGAAAATCCACCTCCAATGCAATGCACTTCCCTGCCACATTCCACTTGCCCAAATACAACAATCCAATACTTGCCAATCAGCATGTCTCTGTTTACACGTGGCACCAACCCAGAGGCTCAGAACCCAAACGAAATGATGGTTTTGTAAACTGGAACTGGTGGTTGTGACAGCAAACACAACAGATTTTCAAGTATGTTATGAGATATTATATACATTTAAGATCTTTGGCCGTTAGATCTTGGTCGTTGGATGCTAGCCTAATGGCCATACCACCCCGGTGTATGGCAGAATTTCCGCAGAAACAGAAGGCCCCGGTGATTATTTTTAAGGGGAAACAAGATTTCATTTGCAAATTAATGTAAATTTTACTAACTTCAGAACAAATGCCCTTTCTCCGAATGAATGTTGAAAGTGAACAATATAAACTAATTACAAATTTAATTTTCAAGATCGAGAATTATGAACAAGAGTAGAAAGTAGGGACCTGTGCTTTTCTTTTCTTTGTGAGCACATTCAGGGCGTCTCGGCCCTACGCTGCGGGGAAGAAATAAACAGACAGAATGGCATCCAGGATTCATGAACAACCGAAGCATCTGCTTACAGAGAGAAACCCTGACGGCACTGCTTCTGGCTCGGGGTCAGGTTTCCTGCTGGGAAGATGCTTAAAGAAGGCCTTTACTGCTCCTGTGACGCCATCCTCGTTCTCCATATCCTTGGCAAGTTCGACAGCCCGCTCCTTCACCTGGTATCCACCAAGATAATAAACCTTCTTACTATTTCATGAAGATTTCTTATTAATACCAAACAACTGACAAAGTTAAAGTTTGCTTGTGATTTAACTACTACTAAAGTTTTGGAAGTTCTTTATATGCACCACTGGAACCTCTAAAATAGAAACACCGATAATGGTATAATATTTTTTCTTTTTAATCTAAACCGTTTCTTAACACAGATAGATCGGGAATTTTGGCATGCATCCGACAACAAATTCTAGATTTGCAAACTTGCATATCAAATCTCGCCACTCATGTAGCATTTTACATGCCTTCAAATGAATATAGTCAGTTCTAAAACTTCCAACTTTTCTCAGAGGAAAAAAAAAGATTACCTTGGGATCAAGCATGAAATTTATTGCATCAACCAACTTGGGAAGTGAGAACTGATCAACTGCAATGGGTCCAGGGCCCACTCCTCTGGCATGTACTCGCTCTCCCCAGAAAGGTTGGTCTCCAAAGAACGGAACAATCGTCGTTGGACACTAAAATAGAAACACAATACACATTTAGGCAAATGATAAATCAAATGAACTGAAAGTATTCAACCATAAGATAGGTTATAAAACAATTACTGCAGCTTTGAGACCAGCAGCTGTTGTTCCAGCACCTCCGTGATGCACCTGAAGGCAGGCAAAAAACCATAAGAACAGTTTAAAATCTAAAATTACTCTAAAGCATGTCGAGAAAGTTAGAAACAAACACTTGCAGACTGGAAATATTAAGAAATCGTTGAATGAAATTTTAGAAGTAACAAGTAACCATCCTAATAACTTCACATACACTTGCCCATCAGAAATTATTCTCCTATAGATCACAAAATCAATGGTGATTTTCCTTCTTCATCCGACAAAAATAATTGCCATCCTTATCCAACCACAATAATATACCCGACTGCATGGTGGTGTTCCTTGTTTCTGTTTCCCCTTTATCTTTTCAGTTTAAAACTACAAATGAAAGCACAAAACAAGGGTGTTCATTCTCACCACAGCCTTGCATTGTAGAAACAGCCAATCATGAGGGCAGTTGTCCAATAAGTATATGAAATCCTTTGGTTCGGCCACTGAGGAGGCAAAATCAAGTGAAATAAATCAGTGTATTCCAAAAGGTCAGCTAAATAGGGAAAAAGGAGAATAACAAAGCTCCTAACAACAATGAAATCATACTAAGCTTGTGGGAAATAGAAACTTACAGTCCCCAAGGCCACCCCATCCTTTGTTAATGATGCCCCGCTGCCCCGTCTTTTCCAATGCTTCCACAATTATTTGGGTCATCTTTTGGGGCTCTTGAACAGGCTGACACAAAGCGGCGGACTCTGGTCATGGAAGCTGCATATGTATGCATGCATGCAGGTATGTGTGTAATTGCAAATTCATTTTTGTCAACGTGTGTGTATGCACGCATCCATGCATGTACAAATTGTAAGTGTGTCTGACTCTGTGTTAAGCAGTAAAAGGTTGTCTCTGAAGAACACCATTCTTTTATCCATGAGAATGTAAATAACTTTGGTCGTCTAACTAACCAGATCCATTCTTTTAGCTTGCAGTAGACTAACAACAGTAGAAATCTCAATTCTGTACTAAGTGGTTAATCAAAGATCACTTCATGATTATACAGCATAACCATAAACTCAAACTGACTGAGAACGGCATTGCATTCTCCATATACAAGATCTAGGTTTTAAAGTGAATAAACGGTGACCTGAGCAAGTCAATCATTCTATCATTGATGATAATTAAGATTGGATAAACCTCAAACAAGTCCCAAGGTTGCTCAAGTATGCTACTATAGAGGAAATCTTGCAGAGATATAAATAGGTATATATTCACGAGTAATGATTGAATAAATAACAAAACTCACCAAGCTACCAAAGCCAATATATATAGGCTTGTCACCAGCTTCAAGCCACTTCACAAGTGCTTCTGGAGGTTCATAATTTGATGCAAGATCAAGGAAGCAAAACCCCACCACATCAATCTTAGGTCCCCAATCTGCAAACCAAGTATTATTAAGTAAGGACTGACATACATTGGCATACTTTACCAAGATTCATGACTTATTAAGCAAGAATGTTCAGTAATAAAAACATAGAGGTACGCCGGTAAATGGAATCCGATGATACTCTACTAGACAGCACAGTCCACATTATTGGCACTCAGCCTACAGCCACAGTTCTGTTGAACTTACAAGTTTCTCAAAACAATCCTACCTTGTTCACCTGAGGGACTCCAAATGGTTATAAATGGAAGAATCAAAACATGCAATTAAAATATAACTAAAGTACCTTTTGGTTTAGGAACAAGATGGGGGCTCCATATATATCCATATGGTACATCAGAATCAGAGCCTTGCGAACCACTTAAATATGTGACAGGTCTTAGTTTCAATTTTTTCTTGCGAACATCATTAATCATGTCCCGTATACCAAGCCAGATTAAGGAGTCAACAATTTGGTACGATAGCTGAAAAATTGGCATAGGGCAAAAAGTTAGAACTATAAATCAGGAAGTGAAAGATATACAATGTTAAACAAATAAATAAAGGTTAAAATTCAGAGGACTTACCCTATACCCAGTTGTTTGCTTGACACGGGACAAAGGATGTGGAAACTCACTAGTTGGCCTGGTAGGAAAAGGTAAAACATATAAAATGCATGCTTAAAACTTTAAACACTGTCAATCATGACAAAACATTGAAAAAGGCAGAAACCCAAGCTCCAAAACAATTGAAGCTGTATACAATAAGATTCCATTACCCAAACAAGACTTACGTCCATGGCATCGTGAAAAATACATGAATAGGAACTTTTAGTGCCTCTGCCACATGAGTATGCCCTATAAAAGCATTTGTGAGATTAGTAGTAAACAAAGCAATACAAGTGTAAGTGGAAATACTTTTTGCGAAATACGATAATATGCAGTATCTTAGCGAAGTTTAACTACTTCAGAAGAATCAGAACCCACAAACTTTTCAAAGGGGGGGAAAGAACGTTGTTTTAATACAAAGTTATAAAAGTTGGAAAAATTATTTCAACCAAATATCCTACCCTCCATTTCCCAAACGCAGAGAGAACTATTGTCACAAAAAATAAAACCTATATCACCATAAAAATATAAAATTTAAAGTTTCTACTCAAAACCATGAAGTGTTGAGAGCTAACCATATGCTGGGGGATTTGCAATTATTGCATCCACTTTAAAGGGAATACCAGAATCCATATCAGGCTCCTTGCAAGCAGAAAATAAGGAGTATATAATGTCCTTCAACTGATTACGTTGAATAGGAATCTCAGAAGGCCCTGATGGCAGGAAGCCTTTATTCTTAACCATATCTGCTCCAAAGGCATGCAAGTAAACTCGTTATACGGAAATTAATGGTGTAATCCATATAAAACTTTTAACAAACATTTTAAATTGATCATTCAAGGTGACTAAACAAATCAGCATATAGTCATTTTGGTACATACAACCAGCAAGGACTTTTGGGTCACCGCCTAAAGGGTAAAACTCCAAACCAGCAGTCAAGACAAACTCCTTGAAATTTGAATGAGTAGCTAGTCTTACGCGATGACCATAATCCTGCAACAAAAATAGTTTCATCAACAGACTTCAACATATGGTTTTGACCATCTTTTATTAGCAATAAATTCTATAAAAAAATAAAATCTTTATTATAAGATCATAAGGAGTTTATAGAATTTAACCATGCTATCAAAATGGTCACCATTTTCAACAATTAATTTCAAAAGGCAGAAAAAACTAATAAGTCTTGAATATGTGAAAAGTCAGAACCTGCAAACGTTTGCCAATTGCAATGAATGGCTGCACATCTCCACGTGTTCCAACAATAAGCATTACTATTTGCATTGGTCGTATGTCTTGAAGATCTTCTGTATCAAGAGTTTCATCATCAGCTCCAGTAGGAGCAGTTCTGCACCTTTCTCCAAGATATTGAGGTTCAACATCGGCTGGAACTTCAAATTCTACGGTTCCATCATCTTTCACCGTAGCTATTCTATTTAACAGCTTAAGCTGCAATTGAAACTTTGAGTTATAAAACAAAACCCGGATAGCCTTTTACTGTTTAGTGCATCACCTTTTACACATCAACTTGTTTTTGGTCAATATTTTACACATCATATTTTGAGACCATCTATGATGCACCTAACATTGGAAAATCTGAAGGCTCCAATAAAATGATACAAGGAACAAAAGAGATATCGTCTTTGCTACCATACCTTCTGGTGCACCGAAATATTGTTGTCGAAAATCTTTGCAGCATCTTTGGACAACCTGTTCTGATGTCTGGTACTGTCAGTTTTTGATCTTTCCAACTTAATCGGAACAGAATTCGATTCTCGTCTCTCAATGTTCGATGATATCTCCGCCGGCGGCAATGTGTTCCCTTTAGACACGCTCCCGCCAGAAATTCCTGAATTGCGAGAAATCCGATTTCATCAATGTAAAATCTTTCTTAATATAATTGTAAATTAGACTCCAAAATCTCCATTACCTAAATTATAGCATCTCTTGTTTAAGATTAAGTGAACACAAAAAATTCGTACTTGCCTCTGCACTATAGTACCGAGAAGAAACACAATTGAAACACAAATGAATTTTTTTGTATCTTCTCAGCAACCAAACAGATTATAAATTCCTAGTAAAACCGACAAACCTGTATAGCTACCGCCACCATGGCCTCCGTCCACCGATTTCTCCAATTCTACGCTATTGCCGCTACTTCCCCCGCGAGCTACATCCTCGATTCTCACTGCAACTTCCCCTGAACTCCCGGAAGAGTTCCGGCGCTTCTCCAGCGGCTCCTCCATGACCGCCACCGATTCCGAGGTGCAGTCCAAGCGGCGTGACTCGTTACGATCCAGATCCGACGAGGCTCAGGGGAAAAGTGAGTGCAAAGAGAGTGGCGTAGGGCGTGTTTGGAGGGCGAGAAAGTTTTAGAAAGATACGGAAGCGAGAATCTTGCGGTGGTGTCGTTCCGGAGGAAGAGAGAAAAAGGAGCTGGCGATAAAAGCACGTTCGGGAAAAGTGGTGGGTGGGGGAGGGGGAGGTGGTGCTTGTAGTCGCTGTGTAATTAATTAAGTACGGGACACGTACGCACAACTGTTTGGATGACCTGTAATTTTCACTGCCGCGCTGTTTGTTTCCGACAAACATTGGATTAAACCTTTTTTACGCTTCTTTTACTGCTGCTAATTACAAAATTACAATCAGTAAAACTGAAAAGTTACTGACCTAGTTTGATAACTTGTAGACCACAACTTACACTTTTTACTGTACAGTTACTCCATGAATGGACTGTTTGGACTAAAAATAGGTTGTCGGTTCAGTCCAAGGCCCAACACACTAAAATATGTCTGTCTTACGTTGATGAACATAATCTGTTCCCTCCCAACTTCAAAATGCCTTATTTCCCCACATTCAGTGAAAAGGACTTCAACATCTCTTCAAGGAATCGCATCCTTAACTTAACTAACCATTGTGTGGCATTTGTAGATAACTCTAATAACAGGTTAAGGCTATTTGGAAATTTTCTGATAGGATTAGCTTCTCAGTGGTACTCATTTCAGCGCCCCCCCCTCCGGCGCCAACTCCATCGCTAACTGGGGCAAATGGAGATCGCATTCCATGAGCAATTTTACAGAGTGGAGTCCGAGGTGACCATCAATGACTTAGTAGAAGTAAAACAATATGAACATGAGTCAACAAAAGACTTCATGATGAGATTTAATAAGACTAGGATGAGATGCCAATTCCCTATAAACCATAGGCAACTCATTACAATTGCTCAGAAGGCTTTAAGGTTATCCTTAATAAATAAGTTTATGATGTGTAATTTAATGAGCTACAAGAACTAGTGATTGTTACCACCATGTATGAGAGACTATTGTTGAATAACAACAACTTAAGCATTCATCAAAACTTCCCTCATTCTTCAAAACAAATTGTCGATCCATCATGTGGAGTTTGAAGACATAAAGCAAGAAGATGGCCTGGAAAGCTTTGGAGAGGAGAAGAGATGTGTGTCATTCAAATCGTTGGTAGTTAAGGAATTGATCAAACCATTCAAGGATCAGAAAGTAGCGATGAATGATGGGGATTTTGTGCCTATGAAACCACGAAAATTTCAATCATATTCATTTGAGCTCACCAAAGATGCAGATATCTATGGAGAACTGGTGAAAGCTAGGGTGATCTTGCTTGATTCTACAAAGAAATTCCCTAAGTCTGAAGAAATCAAAAGCAATAAGTATTGCAAGAATCACTACACCTTCAACCACTCTATCACCAACTTTGTATAGTTTAGAGACTAGATTTAGGACACGACTGCCAAGAGGATACTGTTGCTAGAAAAGCCACAAACAACAATGATGATTGTGTTGACCCTTTTCCTAAGGCTCAGTCAACATGATGAACTTCAATTGGTCTGAGAGAGGCAAGAGGAAGTTCACCCTGAACATAGGGGAAGAAAAGAAAGGGGGAACAGAAAGAAGTAGGGGCAACGAGAGGTTGCCCAAGCGACCTAAGGCTGTAATAATTAAAGGAGTTGTCATTTGTAATAAAAGCCGGTGTGAGTGTGAGCTGGAGATCCCAGCTCCTGGAGCCATAATTGAACATGAGTTGGTACAAAATGATGATAAGCTAATGAATGATGCCTTGAAGCCTCCTGCCAAAGCGTTTGGGCCCCACAACCCAAGAGAGAAAATAATAACATATTGATATTGTTGGGAGTTAATCATGGCTTGTGGAAGTCCTAAAGATTAGAAATCACTCATGACACGCCCCGATCCCAATATTCCCTAAATACCAGGATAAGCACGTGCTGATCGACACTCGAGGGTGACGAAAGCCATTTATTGAGTGCAAATGCTGAAAACAAGGGATATATAAGAATAATAAATAAAAAAGAATAATGAATATGAATTTAAGGAACGTGTTCAGAGCACACATCTAATCTAAAATGCTAAAGGAAAATAATATAAAATTGAATAAATAAAAGAATGGGTCCTACACGTAGAGGACTCGAAAATGCCGATGCGGAAGTGCCTTGATGCCGAGATTGTATGCCTCGATTCTAAGTCCTGAAGGGGGCACAAAACAAACATGAGTGGACCAAGTTGATATATATATATATATATATATATAAAATAAAATAGTTATCAACGTACTAACCCCCACATGTATATCATGATAAACATAGGTTTTTCGAAGCCTAGCATGTTGTGCAATGTCTCAAATCATAACATGTATATATAATAATCACTAGTGAATGTCCGATAACCCCCAAGCCCCATGCTGGCTCCCTGTCTCTGAGCAGACAATCAGAGGAAAATACATTCCAAGCCCCATGTTGGCTCCCTGTCTCTGAGCAGACAGTCAAAGGAAAATACATTCGAATCCCCATGCTCGCTCCCCGTCCCTATGCTAATAGCCAGAGGAAACACACTCCAGACCCTATGCCAACACCAAACCATCGCCCGTGACGAATTGGAATTTATCCCTACGTCCTGTAGCGGAATAGGGACTACTACGTAAGTACAAAACCATTGAATATACATATATTGAAAAGTAACTTCATAGTATAAAGTCATCCATCATCTATACTATAAAGAGGTGTTCTAAACATGTTCTAAATATCATATCGTCATCCATAAGATATTCTATAGAACCATGGGTTATAGGAAAAATAGTAATAATTCAAACTAGCCTCAGTAAGCATGTTATCTCATAAAACATAGTCATCAAATCATGCTTTTCATGTATGCATTTCTACTATCAAAACATGCATTTTTAGAAGGGATCCACTCACAGTACTTAGCTGCTGAAGAGCCACGCAACTAGGGAAGACGGAAACACCACAATTAATTGCCCCTAAGCACATAAATGGTACAATTAGTTAAACTCTACTCAAACGATTGAATTTAGGAAAACAGACATCGGAAACGGGTTCAGGACGTCGAAATTAGCCTATGGGGGGTCCTGTACGAAAACCTAATGATATTGTTCGTTTGGGCCCCAACTACGCCATCACGGTTTTGTTTCTGGGAACTCACACGAGAACTTCCTAGTGGGTCATCCATCATGGGAGTGCTCTCGTACGCTACTCGCTTAACTTCGGAGTTCCCATGAGACCCGAAGCCAGTGAGCTCCCAAAAGGCCTCGTGCTAGATAGGGAGCGGGTCCGGGATGTGGTGGACCCCAGGCTAGGATGTGACAACTAATCTTCATTTAAAGGGAGAACTAAAAGATAGTTTCAATTCACAATAGATAAGTAAGAGTTCTAATTGCTCACTACCTCGCTAATTAAAAACTAATGGATCGTACACTATGTGAGATAGAGATTGAAAAATATAACGGGGTTGAGTAAGAACAATTAAATAGTTTAATTGCTATGGCTATAATTAATTAATAAGTTAATTAATCAAATGAATAAGTTAGTTTAAGCTTTGTGACCCAATGGGCTTTGAACTGTCAAGCCCATTAATAAGTTGTATGACAACTTAAAACTTAAAGGACCCAAAGACCCAATGAAACTACAAGGCTAGCTATAGAGAGGGTATGAGTTTTTCTCTCTTAAATCACTTAAAGGGTGACTGCAAAAGGGGAGTTAGAAGCCTTAGCCTTATTAGGGTTTTCATGAGGGAAAACAACTCTCTATTTTCTCTCTAGAAGGTCGGCGACCATAAGAGGAAAACTAGCATCTTCATCTCCCTTGATCACTCATCTCTTCCTCACATCTCTCCTTGGTGTGGAGACTTAGAGGCTTCCTCTTTTGAAAAATTTGGGATTCCTATTCTACCATCCAAATCTAAGAAGCCAAAGATCCAAATGAGCCAAATAGACCAAAGGAATGAAGACCCTCACTTTGAGTGAAGCCTTTGCAAATGCAAAAGGATCTACAAAGGTATAGTGAATTCTTAACCCTCTCTTGAGAATTTGAGTTAAGTATTGGTTCACCATACTACTAGATTTTGAATTTCATGAGTAATAGTTTTTTATTATGAGTGCATATGAGTTAGCTTCCACTTTTAAATTGTTAATTGCTCTATGTATGCTGATAAAGTAATCTTAGTTTAGCCAAAATTTTCATTCAGTTCACCATAAGTTTTGAAATGAACATGACATATCTTTTTTACTACCCAAAATTTATGGGTTCATACCAAAGAGAAGTAAAGAACTTGTGAAAATAATGTCAAAAGTTCAAAACCAATTTATTCTCCCAAGTGTACATATACTTATGTATAAAATAATAAATAAATAAACTTGTGAAAAAAGTAGGTCAAAATTCTAAAATAACCTTGAACACAAACTTATTTTGGATGGAAACTTAACGGAGTTAAGGTGAGATGACAAATAAATTCAGAAAATTGATATGGCAAACCGCTTAAAATTTTAATTCATATGACAAATTGAAAAATGTCTATAAGTTCATATGACATTTCAAAAACTTTTGGGAAATGACTACACGCTCATTTTTTTTTCTAACACACACCCTTGTTTAGTTATGCCGATTGATTTACCTTTATTTTTTTCAATTCATAAGCAAAAAAATAAATAGAGGTGTATAAAAAAAACAGCAAATAGGTGTTTGAAACTAACTTCCGTCTACAATTAGTCATTGGGGAAAGTTGCTTGAGAAAGTCTTCTAATAAGATTAAGGATAGAAGGGTGTTCTTGGTATGAAAGGAAAAGGTGAAATGATTTGGGCAACATCTTGCACTCAAGAAGACTTTTTATCACTAATCCCATATACCATATTCTGCTCTCTAATTTCAAGTTTTATTCCAAAAAATAGCATTTATGAATATATTCCTGTTGGTGTAGTTTGGTACAATGCAGGTTGAATGAATGAAATGCATGATCTTACATAGGAGGAGTGCACAATAATCTAGCTACAATTTAAAATAGGCGACAACATATCTATTGCATTAAGACGTTTTAAGATGAGACTCACACATGGGGTCCATTAAAGTAATCTCATCCATAGTATTGAAGTTAAACGTGGTGTGTGGACTTCATCTTTCATGCAAAAGAGGTTAAGCAT